TGTTCAGGACTGGGGCAGGGTAGAACTAGCATTGGCTTTGAATCAAAATGAATTTTAGGTAAAGGCTGTTGGATTCAATGATAGACTTTCTTCTTATATCTTTGGCAGGGAGATCTATCCCCTTTAGTGTTCACAACGCCTTCCACCTGCTGCAGCCATTGTATAGGGTCATGCTGCAATTTTTTTCAACCTTATCAACTATGTAAATATGTAACAATGTAACACGATGGCAGAGGACACCAGGGAATTGTGTTTCAGAGGCTAGCAGGTGGTAATTTGGTCCACCAGTAGCGTTAGTAATTTCTCAAGGCTGGTACATATTTGCTGCTTGTCAGAGGAAAATTTGACTTGTGGGTTGAGCTCCCAATCCTGGTTATAGGTGAGTAAATGTGCGCTTACCTTTCCAAAGCTTCCTGCTCCAAGTAGATGGTGCAATTTGAAGCCTGATAGATTGGTTGTGATGTCATATTCGGTGGTCATCCTATCTGGTGGTCCAAGACAGTCGCTCACTGTCACTGAGGTGAGCTGGTCAGGGCTGCAAGGCCCTGAAGGCCCTGGGCAGTCACCCACCTCAGCCGAGGTGAGCTCGTCAGGGCTGCAAGGCCCTGGGCAGTTGCTCACCTCAGCCGAGGTGAGCTGGTCAGGGCTTCAAGGCCATGAAGGCTCGGAGCAGAAGCTCATCTCAGCCGAGGGGGGCTCATCAGTGCTGCAAGGCCCTGAAGACCCTGGGCAGTTTCTCACTTCAGCCGAGGTGAGCTCATCAGGGGCCAGTACCGTTTCTGGGGAGCTGCTTGTCTTGCTGGTTGCATGGAATGACTTTAACTTCTTCCCTTAGTGAAGCTTTGTTCTTCTCTCTAATTAATCTGTAGTCCTTTGAATCCCTTCTAGTTTATGGGCTTCTCACATAAACATGTTAATGGTAAAAGTTGCTTGTTGCCCGTAGCAACCACTGAGCCACCTGCTGTCTATTTTACAGGTCAAGTTATGAAACAGGTGAGAAAGTGATTGTTTGCTATAGGCAACAAGGGTGTTTGTCTTTAGTAGACATTTCATGTACTAGGCCTTATGTTCCCTTCCAAATGTAAAGAACATGTATAGGTACGTGTTGCCAGCAGCAACCAATCTAAGGTTCAATTTTTGTCATATACGGTGTGAGAAAATGGCAGTGCTTGTTTGTTAAGAAATTGTTTAGGTCTTTTGTGGATTTTTAGGGATTATCCCATGCAAAAAATAAGAAACAAATGGTGCCCCCCACCCTTCAAATCCATACCAGACTTTTATCTGAGTATGCAGCCTGGCCAAAAAAAGGGGGAGGCAGTGATCGCGTTTTCCCCCAGAAGCATACCAGGCCACATGCCCTCAGCATAGAGATGGTACCTTGCCGTGGGGCGGGGGCCTGCCAAAGCACCTTGTCACCATCCAATCATGTGCAAGCATACTATATATATAGGGCGCCTCTGGTCTAGAAATGTCTTGTTGACATAGCATTGGTTACATGCCTAAAGATCTTCTGTCTCTATTGTCTTTCCTAGAATGAGTGTGGATTCTCTGCTGGCTCAGTACAAGAGCTGACTGTTCAGTAGCTCTCCTCGGGTGATGCAGCTTCATGCACAGGCGCCAAGCTGATAGACAAGGAGAGGCGACAAAGTATCCTGGAAGAGCCGGACCTGCACAATGCTTTCCACAATGATGTCTTGGTCACCAGCGGAGTCCAGGACCAGTCAGATCTACTCTCCACCCTGAATCGATCGTACATTCGACATCTTCCAGACCCTGAAGCAGACTGCCCTTCCTCTTTTTTTTTACTCCTTGGAGAACAGAGTTTCATACTGTAAAGGTGAGTGAGATCTCGCAAAGGACTGTTCAAATCAGCTTCCCTGACTGGGGCCTTAGGCAGGGACGTATTCACCGAAGGGCAAACAAGACGTTTGCCTTGGGCGGCACTTTGCAAGGGGGGCGGGAATAAGCCGCCCCCAAATCTGTGCGACCTTGGCTGCCTAATTTACCTAAGAGAGCTGCCAGGTGGAGGAGGGGTCGAGGATGGACCGGAGGCGGGGCAGGGCCGAGGCTGAGTGAGATGCAGCCCGGCCAACAGAGCTGCGGGCGGCTCAGGGCTGCCCATACTCCATTGTCTGATGGAAGGATGACCCGGAGGCTGGCTAGGGGGTCTTCAGTTTAGTGGAGGAGCACATGTGTGTGACAAAATTACTATTCCCAGGTGGCCTCTGCAGGGTCTGTGGTGGGCTATGCAAGTTATGTGGTGGGCTATGCGGGGTCTGTGGTGAGCTATGCGGGGTCTGTGGTGGGCTCTACAAGGTTTCAGTTGGGCTATGCGTGATCTATGGTGGGCTATGCAGGGTCTCAGGTGGGCTATGCAGGGTCTGTGGCGGGCGTACACGCTGTATCCAGCAACTGACAGGTTACGAAAAATGTCTTATGCAGGAAAGGGTGGGGCAAATTTAGGTTGCGGGGATGCCCGAGTGTAGTCTTGCCTAGGGCAGCACAAAACCTAAATACACCACTGGCTTTAGGGTCAACATAGACAATACAATGTGACAATCCAACATTAGATTTACCAAAATGATGTAATGTGAGGGGGTAGGAAACTCCTGCCCTCCAGCTGTGTTTTAATAACAAATCCCATCAAGCCTCTGGGAGTCATACCTGTAACTGTGAGTCTTGCAATTCCTCATGGGACTTGAAGTTCCAAAATAACTGAAGGGCTGTAGTTGCCCACCCCTGTAATATGAGGACCTAGCTCATCTATTTAATCAATTTGCTCTTCTTTAGTAGTTGGCAGATCAAAAAGAGATTGTACAGTCAGATTTTAATGTGTGAGATCTGGCAAGATCCATTTACACAGCCACTTTCTAATCCACCATTGTACACATGGGGCAGCCTGTTAAAGGATCGGTCCTTCCAATGTTGATAGTTCAGTTTTCGGTAGAGGCTGAAGAGTTAACCAATGTGACAATTTCTTATATGTCTTGGGGAATTCTATTGGTGAGATCTCTGTGCTAAGTAAGGATGAACCCGAGCTTCCCTGAACACAGAAGGAAGCTCTTTCTTCCTCGTCCTAACCAGCTGCAGCAAGGAATTCATTTAATTGACCCAATCTGGCCACATGGTTATATAAAATCAATTATGTCAGCACAAGCTAAATGACCATGCCTGCTGCTGATTGGGCGGGTGGCCACATGTAGCTTCCGGGTTCAGAAAAACTCGGGTTCTGGCCGGGATTGCTCCAAACCTGAGCTTATCCCTAGTGCTAAGTTCCCAGGTTTGCACACTTGCTGTGTCCATTATAATGGGCTCCCACTTTGCCTGTTGGATTTGTCTATTGTAAATTATGAAAAACGTAAGAAGAGGAGCTGGACCACCCAAAACTCCAGGGAGATCTCACTATAAGACACCTGGGACTGACTCAGTCCACCATGCTTCACCTATAAACAATTTATTACCTTTAGGCAGAATGATCAAAAATAAAGAGAAATTAAAATTGTGTTTTCTGTACCAACTAGTCCAATCCTGGCTCTTTCTTTTCAACCTGGACCTAGACCTAGAAGTGATAGCTACAAACCGATCGGTTGTTTTGGGTTCAATCACAATGCTCTTTACTAAGGTCAGTCATATATCTATAGATTGTTTTTTTTTCAGCCTACTGGCTGAAAGGAAAAAATCTCATAAATTCTTCCCTCCATGCTATTTAGTGTGGATCTTCCACTGCAGCTACTGTATAGTGTTCTGACAGTAGGCCCCGCCAGCTGTCAAAAATCTGAATAGTGCCTGCATCTGATTGGATGCCCCCCGGAGTACAATTTTTAATGAAAGATGTTGGATGGGAGGAGTCAGCCAGGGCCACACACTGAATTTTGGCTGGGTGATCAAGGATCGGATGAAATTCATTTAGTCAGTTAAGATGAATTGTGATTTGTTTTCTAAGGTGCTGCGTTATACATTATGCTCTTTTGCTGTATTAATTCCAGTTTTGCAACAAGTAAAGATTTATGCAGAAGATGCTGATTAGCATAGGTGCTGATTGTCAATGAACGTTTTCACCCTAAACTGCTTGGCCTGTATCGATGGGATTTGGGCTTGTATCAATGTCATTGGTTTGACATCAGTTTGAAATGCTTTTAAGATAATTTAGGGGATTATTCACAAAGCTGCCGAATTGGTCAGAGCTAGCGGTGACATCACCGTTAGCTCCACCCAACTATTGACATTTGTCCAGCACCTGTCAAACTTTCCTGTAGGTCCCGGCCAAATGAAAACAAATGGGCGGAGTTCTGACATACATTTGACCTGCTTCAAACAGGTTTTGCATACCCATAGACTTGTATGAAACAGGTCCTAAACACAAATAAACTGTTGAGTAACAGGAATTTAAACAATGGACATTTTCAAACATCATACTTTATTAAAATGACAATCAATTTAAACATGTTCACCACCATTAAATGTTTTTTTCAATATATACAGCACATTACCACCCACTTGAGGAGGTATTGTCAGCAGGCAAAATTCCATTTGAAGCATTACATTTATGAACAGGTGCCTTTTATATGAAACTTCAAAGTGTCTTCACTTTTTTCATTTGAAAGATAAAGGAATTGATCAGCTTAAAACATAGTAAAGACAGCAATTTATCACAGTGGTACAAACATTAAATACAGTAATGTGCATGACTGTGCTGTGTATTTATTTCCCAGTTGTTGGCTGGTGTGTCATCCAACATGTTAATAGCATGTTTGTGTTAAGTGTCCAAACATTGATACTACATGGATCTTTTCTGAACAAAAGTGAAAAAGTGACTTAAAACATTACAAGACCTATTCCTTCACCCAGTAATAACAAACAGGTGTTTACCGTTATTGTAGCCATAATTGAACCTTATGTATAAAAAGTATGGTAATGCTATTGGGAACGGTAGCATTTTCCATTTCCTCTCTTACTTATCCCAGGAAAGAATCACAGCTAAATTCTGTTTGACAGCTTTGAATAACACTTATACGTTTTATAAGGTCCAATATTTTCTGACTAAAAAGTACAGGATTTCCTTCATATAATAACTATGTGGAACATGAAACTTGATTATAATTTCTTCAGGCAATAGGCATATACAGCAAAATAATGTAGGTTATGTAACAAAACCGTAATAATCTCTCCCATTCACATACTCTTGTCTTTGGCCCTAGATGATTTCTGTAGGATGTGTTCAAGTGATAACAGTAGGTCCTTTCCGACCAGTCCTCTCATGAATCTGGGAAAGCTTCAAAGCAATAGCTATAAGAGGACCCAGAACAGCCTAAGAAAAGAAAAGATCAACAATAATATTGTGTCTTATTCAAGTACATAACCATCGACTGCTTCTTTCTAAGTACAAGCCAGCCTAAAGTGAACCTGACTTGTCCATGCAGGTCACAGCAACAATGGGCCTGTTTATTCAGCGATACCTTTGTCATACATTGTTTTTTGTGGACAAACTAAACTTTCTTTTGACAGTGCTGTCTTTCAAAAATAATTATTTTATTTTCAATGTAATCTATAAACAAAAGTGTTAGTTTTAAAAAAGTAGTTTCCCTGTAAATAAAATGGTTACATTTTATTCCATTATTTGTTTAACTTAAATTGACACTAAAATGAAGTTTCTGGTAAAAAAGCATTGCAAAGTTATTAGATAAGTGCAAATGAAAAAGGTATTTTTTTTCAATTTTGCTGATATTTTTTATGCAACACTGAAAAAAAAAATGAATGAAAATAAACAAAAATATAAATATTATTAGTAAAAAAAAAAATTGAAACCTGCCAGCAGGCAAATCGGGAGATGGGGTTCATTGGTGCTGATTAGGATTAGTAAATGGTTAATAAGGGGTTAAATAGGAATACATTTTTTCTTTTTTTTACTTATAAGGTTTTACACACTTGATCTGTATATGAATAAAATAGTAACTACACTGTAACAATACATGAATACACTGGCACTTACAGATTATATATAAGTGTCATTGTACCCAGGAGTGGTTCTGGCTGTCATTTTGACAGCTGGAAATTGCTAGTAATGGCGGCGGAGGAATTGGTGGCAGTGGAAGAGGAGCTAAACATCAGGGGTACACTCTATAAAAGTTGGAGTTTTATGACATATCTCATGCGTATCAAATTCTCAATTGATTAATGTCAGCCACACCTACTGCACATAGTTCATTCACTCCCTTGAATGAGCCATAAAGATTGAAGAGAGTTAGTCTAAGCTCAAATCACAACTAGAAGCTTATACAGGGCTGAGGACCCTCTTCCTGTCTCTATGTGATATCACTGGTTGCCTGAGCAGCCAGTCAGCAAGCACCAGCTCTATCACTATAAAAGAATGGATAACCAGGATTGCCCATATCTGCTTGATGGAGGAGTTGACACACTCCTTGTGGGATCATTCTGCTAAATATGAAGCTACCTGGCACTCCTGGAATGATTACATACTTTCTCCATACTTGTCTAAAACATAGATTGCATTTAAGACCTGACAGAGGTTCTATGATTCACCCCCTTTATCCAAAAACCGACTGTGATCATAACAAAACCAAATAGTCAATGTGCATTCCTCACAATAACCTCAGATAAACAAGGACGTGGGGAACTGAGATGTAGGAGAGCAATTCCATAGTTCTGACCTTCTAGGATAGGCAATACACTACTAAAAGAAAATCTCACAATCCAAATGTGTCTGATATTTAAGAAGCCAGTGGGTGATTCTTCTCAGCAGTTTCAATCCACAACTAAAGACAAACAAGCCAAATTTGATCAAATATGGCAGCTATGGATACAAAACATCTTAACTTTTAAGAGATATCTTAAAATAAATATAATTTGAACAAGGGATGCCCTTTCAACAGTTAGGCTGCCATCCAGTCCAGCATTAAATGTAATTTGAATATGAGGTATTATTGTATTGGTTAAGTGGCTCAAATAGCATTCGGGATATCTTGGATATCTTAGTCTCTAAAAACACTTGTATATTGTAATTATCAATATACAAGTGTCCTTCTGGACAGTCCAACCTTTTCACCTTGCAGAAATGCTTGAATGAAAGTTCAAGGATCTCGAGGAAGTCCGGAAATATTTTTCTGATCTACAGCTCACAGTACATTACTGTGATAAGTGAGCTGTAGATTAGATAGAACCAAAATATCTGTAGAAATAACAATAAAACTTATGCTATCACGTCACAGTTGTACTGTATAATCCATAAATGACATATAGGTGCCAAATGTTGGTAGATTTTCTTCTCATGCATAGTCAACAGTTTATTTATTTACCATGTATTTTCTATAGATAATACTCTTGTGTGGATTACAACCATATACAGGCTATGGCTCAAAACAAAAAAATATGAAGTGTACAATAACATACAAGATGTGCTCCCTTGTTTTCCATGTACAGGAAAGATATGACATATGGTACAATTCCATTGGTACGACCCCCTATATAGGAGCCAGAGCCCCAGGCAATAAAGTATTTGCCTTTACAGCATAAAACACTTATATATCAACAGGTCAAAGGTTGCATTTCAGTACAGATTAGTACAACCAGCACGCAATAAATGACTTATTATTCATATATTACTAGCACTAAAATGTGTAATTAAAGCCAAGTGTGTCAGGAACAGAAATCACAATTTAACATGTTTGCTGCTGCATCGACCTAAACAAGTAAAATCATCCAAATTAAATGCCAAAACAGAAACTAGCATGGCAGACCTTGCCTATTACTTGGTCATTCAGGTATTTAGTAATTTAAAAAAAATCATGCTGCAGTACTGTACTTACCTAGTGTCCTGCCATCCTGCGCACCTGACTCAAGTGTTCCTCTCAACCTTCGTCACTATGTTCGATGGCGTCATGAACCAGAGCTTCAGAAGAACGTTGGGGGTGATATCAATGTGTCCGGTGGTTTTCAATAAAACACACTGTTTGACTTTTGGGGGATGTATATACATTGCAACAGTGAATTGTGGTGAAAATCCTGGGAACTGTGCAGATATCCCATCACACACCTAAGCAGTATGTCCTGTATATCCTGTTGTCTCTCGGTGGGTGCTTTATTGACGTTGGTTGATCATGAAATCACAGGAAAAAGGTGACGTTTTGGGACCACGCAGGGTACCTTCATCAGGCAATGTTATAACAAGCGCATAATACAAAGTGGTGTATTTATATTTGCTTTGAATTATGCGCATGTTATCACATTGCCTAATGAAGGGACCCTGCATTGTCCCAAAATGTCGTTTTTCTTATGATTTTGGTGATGAAGATTTAGGTGTGCTGGTGACCGAATCTCTCAGTCACTCCTGGGAACTTCTCCCAGATCCTTGGTTGAGAAAACCTGGGATAGCCTACTTTTTCCTGTGCCTTTCCAACACTTTCTAAAACCACCCACTCTTTCTGAAAGGTGGATTAGAGTTCTTCCTTACAAAGGTTGTAACATGTGACTTTAATAGGAAGGACTATTTCACATGTGGGGGTCCTTCTGGTGAGAACCGCATGTGGCTGCATGGCTGGAAAACACAGCAGGATGCTGAAAGAGTAAAGCAGTGTTGGTTCAGGTGTACCAGAATCAGGTTGGCCAAGGGAGCAACTGTATCTCGTTGGTTGTCAAGCTGAAATGTGTAGTCTGCGAAAATGGCTAACAAAAATACAACTGGGCTTTAAAAATGACGTACCTGCACAGAAACATAGAGATACTTACCTCTCCTGCATCGCCAAACATTTATATTGGTGATGCAATTAAGCAAATGCTTAAAAAGCTAATTACATGCAATATATAAAACTGTTGCAGACTTTTAGTGGTGAAGTCTCTTCTAAAACCATGACTTCAGTGAGTGTCAATCTCCTGTGTCCCCCCGTGATGCTGAATGATTCCTCCCACCAACCTCCACATAATTGCAGAAGACGGTAGTGGTCAGCTGGAGGTGTTTAGATACACTTGCTTATGACTGCTGTCAGGCATTGCAGTGTATAACATCAGTGTAGTTTATTGAGGCACAGAATATCTCCATACGGCATGTGTCTCACAATGAGTACACATACGGCCTTGGTCTCAAAGTAGTGAGTCACCTAGTGGCAGAACTGCAATATCAAATTTTTTTTAAAACAAAAGAAGACAACAATAAACATATAAAAATGTAGCAATAGAACAAAAAGCTCCATATGTAATTAACTATATAAAGTGTCTGTGTGTTCAACATAATCTTTCAGCTGGTGGCTTTTTAATTGCTCTGTTATCAGCGCACAGTAGATTGATGCTCCTGGAAGTGTTGGTTTCAGAACAGACCTCACCCAGGTATGACTCTGCAACAGAGCATTTTTCTTTGGCCCAGACAGCTGGGAAGGTTAGTATTCCTATGCTTCTGTGTAGGTATGTTATTTTTTAAGCATTTTTGATTAATCAACAGTCACTTTAAGTGGTTGGCAGCAGTAAAGACCAAAGCCACCATTAGCCAGTGTTTTGTGCTATTTCTCTTTATTAATGGAGCGTTGATGTCCCTTCCTGAGCTGGGAGACAGTGGGTGCATGTAACTGCCCTGATTGTGGGTATAGCTGCATAATATTTTGTTTTTACATAGCATAAAGCATAGTTTTTATCTGTAATGTGTACAGTGTTGGTTTTCACTTTTACTACAAGCAACTTCCATACAACATGTAGTCTTGGGGAGAAAAGCCAATGGGTTAGAGTGTAACTGTCTGAAGGTGAAGAGCAGCATGTGGCCGCATGGCTAGAAGACACAGCAGGATGCTGAAAAAAAAGTAAAACAGTGGTGGTTCAGATGTACCAGAATCAAGCTGGCCAAAGGAGTGACTGTATTTTGTCCAATGTTAAGCTGAAATTTGCAGTCTGTGAAAATAGTTAACAAAAGTACCACTGGGCTTTAAAAATGGCATCCCTAGAAGCATAGAGATACTTACCTCTCCTGCATCGCCAAACATTTATATTGGTGATGCAATTAAGCAAACACCTAAAAAGCTATTCACATGCAATATATAAAACTGTTACTGACATTTAACAGATTCTAACAAGCACTAAAACATAATAAAATTGTAGTTAATTCTCTAATCTTATGATCGTCATTCAGAATTCACATCACTTCATCAAAAGCTTTTAGCCATTCCACGATAAGATATAATAACACGAGCCAGCTGTATCATCTGCCGGATATTAAAGGACATTTCGTTTTCTTGCCAACATTCATGATACCTGGCTTACAATTGTTATAAGTCAGACAAGAGTGTAATTATATGTCTCAACGATGACATT